CTGTCAGCACAGAGCTGAAGTGGGGCTCGAACCCACCAACTGTGAGATCATGGCCTGAGCCACCCAGGCACCCCTTTTTTTCATTTAAATTTTATTTATTTACCTTTTGAAAAGGCAACATTTCTTGGATCAAAATTCAAAAAAGCATACATTAGAAATTCTGTCTCCTATCCTTGATTCTCAAACAGTTTCCCTTCCCTGAGCAAAGAGTTTCCTGTGGTCTTTTCAGATATCGATTTAGGCATATGCAAGCAAGTATGTATTTTTCCTTCTGTATAAAAATTTTAGCATACTATGGACACTCTTCTGATTCTTGCTTTTTTTTTTTCAGTTAAAAATATGTCTTGGAGGTCTTTTCGTATCAGTGTCTGAACAATTTTCTCATTGTTTCAAGTCTTCTGGAAAGCAGGTGCCAAGATGGGATTAGACATGCAAGAGACTTACTAAAGGAAATGCCTTTGAGAGAGAAAAGGAGGCAGCTGGAGATGAATCAGATAGTGATGCTGATCTGAGCCCTGTGAAGGATGGAAGGAAGGCATGAGGGTTGGAGTAGGCAGGGACTAAGACTGCACCATAGTTCTAAAATAGTTTCAGATGGGCTTAAACCTGGGGATTCCTTAAGACAAAGTCACACATCAGAGGAATCCTGTATCCTGCAGGAGTGGACCTTTGTGAACTTCCTGCTGTGGTCAGTCATTGGCTGGGAGCAGCCCATGGAGAGTTTGGCCTCATTGCAAATGCAGTGCTAGATTCAGGGCTTAGAAGCTGGACCCTCCCTTCAGGGAAGACATCTGGGAGGAATATTTCATAGGCTTCATATTATTTTTAGGGCTGCATAATAATCCAATGAAGGATGTGCCATACTTTGTCCATTATGAGAGACATATCACAGTATCTACCACAAGGAGTATAACTGTAGGAAACTACTATGTGGTTTTGATAGAGGCTGCCAAGGGGCGCCTGGGTGGCTCAGTCGGTTAAGTGTCCGACTTCGGCTCAGGTCATGATCTCGTGGTTCACGAGTTCGAGCCCTGCGTCTGGCTCTGTCCAGACAGCTTGGAGCCTGGAGCCTGCTTCCGATTCTATGTCTCCCTCTCTCTCTGACCCTCCCCCCATTCATGTTCTGTCTCTCTCTGTCTCAAAAATAAATAAACGTTAAAAAAAATTAAAGAATGATAGAGGCTGCCAAGATAAAAATCTAATGTATATATTGGTATATATTTTGTGAACGTGTATTCCACCAGCAAGGCAGGAGACTGTTTCCTCATATCCTTAGTAACACAGCGTGTGGTCAAGCTTTTTTTTTTTAAAGTTTATTTATTTATTTTGAGATAGAGAGAGAGGCAGGGAGAGGGAGAGAGAATTGCAAGCAGGTTCTTTGCTGTCAGCACAGGGCTCAATCTCATCAACTGTGAGATCATGACCCGAACCCAAATCAAAAGTCAGATGCATAACTGACTGAGCCATCCAGGCACCCAAAACTTTTGATTTTTTTTAGTTAACCTTTTCATAACCTACATTTGATTTTTTACTTACACATTTTCCTACCTTCCACTCACTCCCTAGTACATATTCATTAAGCCCTGACTCTGCAATTTACTAGTTGTCTCAGTTTGTTCATATGTAAAATAAGAATTCTAAGTCAACATACCTAATAGGAATATTTTGAGGATAAAATGAATGCAAAACTCCATGTTTAAAAACAGCAACAAACAGGGGCGCCTTGGTGGCTCAGTTGGTTGGGCCTCCAACTTCGGCTCAGGGCATGATCTCAGGGTTTGTGGGTTCGAACCTCGCGTCTGGCCCTGTATTGACAGCTCAGAGCCTAGAGCCTGCTTCAGAATTTGTGTCTCCCTCTCTCTCTCTGCCCCTCTCCTGCTTGCATTCTGTGTGTCTCTCTCTCAAAAATAAATAAACATTTAAAAAAATTAAAAAAAAAACCCCAGCAACCAATGGATAAACATTCTCCACACTCCACCATCACATACTGATGATTTCCAAATCTATACAGACTTTTTGTTGGCAGGTACAAATATTCATCTGCTTACTTGTTATTTCTTTTTTTTAATGTTTATTTATTTATTTTCAGGAGAGGGGGGAGAGAGAGAGAGAGAGAGAGAGAGAGAGAGAGAGAGAAAGCACGCTGTCACAAAACATGAGATCATGACCTGAGCTGGAATCAAGTGTCAGATGCTTAACTGACTGAGCCATCCAGGCACCCCAATACTTACTTGTTATTTCCATCTTGATGCCCCACAAGCACTTCAATTACAACATGCCCCAATGAAACTCATCATTTTTCTCTTAAAAATTGCTCCTATTCCTTTATTTCCCTTATTGTTGAAGTCAAAACCCTGTAAGTCATTTCAGATTATTTTCTCTCCCTTAAACCCACATTTAATTAATCCTCAGGTTCTGTTGAGTTTGATTCATAAATAATTCTGGTATCTGTCTTTTTCTTATGATCAGCACTGCCACTAGATGGTTTAATCTCTGTATTTTGTAAGTATTAAGGGAATAGCTTCTTTTTCTTCTTCTTTTTGTTTTTAAATAGCTCCATAATGAATGTGGGGCTTGAATTCAAGATCCTGAGATCAAGACTCACATGCTCTCCCGACTGAGCCAGCCAGATGATCCAAGGCAGTAACTTCTTTACTGTTCTCACCTTCTTCCAATCTATCCTGAACACTGTTGTCAGGAGGAGTTTTTGAATCACGACACTGATTATATTACTCTTTAGCTCAAGAGTCTTCAATGGTTTCCTATTGCCTATAGAATGATGAAATCTAAAACTTCCACTAGTCATATATATATATATATCTTCATAATTTGACCTCTACTTATCTGTCCAATCTCTTCTTAGATATCCCCTTTCCCTGCTTTAATCTGTAACATTCAAACTAGTTGCATTTCTCAGAATATATCATGTTCTCTCATGATATATGATTCAGCCATCCTGCCTTAAATAATTTCTGCTCCCTACTTGCCTACTTGCCCTTCACATAAAGTACTTTAAATTTTGGCTCAAAATTTCCCTCTGTTGTGAAGCCTAGCTTGACTCCTCTAGAATTCTTCCTATTCTACTATTGTTCTCTGTACCCACATAGTTTATTTTTAATTTGCTTGCATGTTTATTTCTTCAATAGGTTTTAGTTCTCCGATGGAAAGAGACCCATTTTCATCTGGTATCTCCAGCACTTATCATAGTTCCTGGAAATAAGAGACACTCATATACTCAGATATTTTCGATTGACTTCACGATCTGAGTTAGTTTCTCAGGAAACTTACTGTTGTAAATAAATGATCTCCCCAACACTCCAAGTTTTCCAGGTTTCTGCCAAAACCTAGCAGGCAGGTCACTACTAATTCTCCTTACCACTTTATTTTTATTATTATTAACTTTTTAAATGTTCACTTATTTTTGAGAGAGAGAGACAGAGCACGAGCAGGGGAGGGGCAAAGGGAGAGGGAGACACAGAATCTGAAGCAGGTTCCAGGCTCTGAGCTGTCAGCACAGAACCAGATGCCAACCGAACTGGAACTCACCAACCATGAGATCATGACCTGAGCTGAAGTGGGAAGCTTAACCTTAACCCACTGAGCCACCCAGGTGCCCCTCCTTATCACTTTAGATAAAAGTGACCATTTCCTCCTTTTTGCTCTCAATAAATGTGGTATATTAGTCTTATCCTAGCACCAATCATGTTTAGGATTGTATCCCAAGCATCTGACACGTTAAGTATGCAACAATTAAATGAATCAATGTTCACCTTGATGAAGGAAACTTTCTTAAACATTCTAGAACGTCATCATTATGCATAGACCGTAAAAAATCTTTTACAATCCAACCCTGATGATTGTTTTTAAAACGATGCATCCTGGCACTTTAATTGTCCTTAGACAGATGGCCAAACCTTGGCTATGGGAACCGCACAGTGTAGGAGGAGACCATGACTAGAGCGCGAGGGAAAGGATGATTGGCTGCTAGGGTTCAGAAGTTCTCCTCAGACGGATGCTAGAACTAGGAAACCGCTGATGGTTCAGCTTTTGAAATACCGTTTTTGCATCGTAAAGAAAAAAGATTAACCTATCAGGAACAACCGAGCACATCCAATTACCAATCAAGAACGGGAAAGGAGCCAAAGCCTGGGGATACCCACGCACCAAGGAGGACGTCATTCTCTAAGTCTCAGCCAATGAGAGATTGGGCGAAGGGGGCGGGGCAACGGGCGGACCAATTGCCACAGAAAAACAAACAATCTGCAGCACAACTGTCCTAACCACAGCCCTCGCCTCTCAAACCACTGGAGCAAACTCCTGAGCAAAGCACTTGTTAAATACTTTACACTTTCCTTCTAGCCCGGGGGCAGTTACACTGGAGTACCTTCCTCATACTAGAACAAGAGCCTTCTCTCCACCAGCTCGCAAAGACTCGCAGAAAGAATACAGTAACTTTGAGCTTTCTACCTTCACAGGAACTGGCAGTCCGGAGCTACCTGAGGGGGAGGGGCAGCCCCAGTGCGCAGGCGTGCATGCCTTGTGGAGGCGGGGCTGTAGCGGCCCAAGGCATCCTGGGTGCTGTATTTCTTTTGCTGGCAAAACTGAACTGCTCCTGTAGCCTCCGGAACTACATTTCCCCGCAGCTCCCGCGGCCTCGAGGTGGGCGGGATGGTTGGTTAATGAGCTCGAGGAAGCCGCGGCGCGGCCCACCAGGTTCCAAAACAAGGAAATGAAGGGGGGAGGCGGGACTGGGGCTGCCTGCGGGAGCCGCCGCCGCCGCCGCCGCCGCGGAGGAGGAGGAGGAGGAGGAGGAGTGGGTGGCTGCCGCGGCCGCCGAGGAGTCCCTTGCTGAAGGCGGACCGCGGGGCGGCGGGCGGCGCGCGCGCGCCCGAGAGGCGGCTGTTGGAGAAGTGGAGCGGCGGTCGCGGGGGGAGGAGGAGGAGGAGGGACTGAGCGGCGGCGGCCCCCGCGTCCCGGTGCCTCTATGGGGAAAGCAGACAATGGATTATGATTTCAAGGCGAAGCTGGCGGCGGAGCGGGAGCGGGTGGAGGATTTGTTTGAGTACGAAGGGTGCAAAGTGGGACGCGGCACCTACGGGCACGTCTACAAGGCGAGGCGGAAAGATGGGTAAGAGCAGGGGCGGGGGGAGTAGGCTCGCTCGGGTCCTCGCCCTGCCCGCGACCGCGCGGGATGGGTGGGTTGGAGCCGGGTCGGGCCGTTCCCGAAGGGCGAGGCGGAGGTGGTCGCGGGGCCGCGTCCCAGCGGGGACTGAGGGACGCGGGTTCTGACTGCCCTCCCCGCGCGGCCCCGTCGCGCCCCTCGAACTCCAGCGGCAGCAGCCTAGTCGGGGGGCGTCGGTCCCGTTCCGGGGGGCGTCGGTCCCGTTCCGGAGGGCGCCTTCCGCGTGCGTGGAGCTGGCGGCGGGACTCGAGTTGGGACCTCGGCTGGAGGTGGAGTTTGTGGGGTCTGGTCTCTTGGGGAGACGCCGAGGGCTGGGAGAGCTTTGCCGAGTTGCCGCTCCGGCCCTGGGCTGGTGACGGTCGTTGTGGAACTTCCAATCGGCTAAGCGCCTCCCGGGGGCGGCGGTTTGAAACCTAGCGGAGGAGCTGGTCGGGCGGCTGGGGTCTTAGCCAGACTCTAGGGTCTGACCCACCGCGCATCTCTGCCCTTGGGGCCAGCCAGCCCATTGGCTTCTCAGCGTAGTCCCGCGTCCCTGTCTATACCCGGCGACTTCTGGATCCCTGCTCATTCGCCCCCGATTTCGCTTTTTCACATTCTGAATTCCGCACTTTAACTCGAATGTAGGACCTTCTCGGAGACTAACCGCGTTTTGCCCGCAGAACTTCAGAGTTCGCCTAGTTTTTTGGTAACTCGTATTCTGCCCCCCGTTGGATATTCTTATGCTTTCCACTCCATCCCCTGGCTAAATGACTGCGTGCTGGGGTTTATCCAGCACCTAGATTATCCGGAACGGAATGCAGAGTGACAGAGATCTGGGCCTGAATCTTTGTTTACCTGGGATTTGAGGGAGAACCTTAGTAACCTCTTAGGAAGCCTTTATTGATTGTTCTCTTAGGAGATGGCGAGCTGGATTCTGTATTGAGAACGCCTATCCTTCGTCCTGTAGGGCAGACGGGCTCTAGGACAGGTGGAACCAGCTGCCGGCGAAGGGTAGGTTTAAACCAATCACCTGCTCACCGCCCTTCCTGGGAGGAATTCTCCTCCCCTAGAGTAAGGGAGCCCAGGAACATTTATCTACCTGTCCCGCTTAGATTTCAAAGACGGTCAAAAAGTATGAGAAAGAGTTTTTAGCATCCTAGCGGAACATTTCTGAATAAAGTGAATATCAGTCACAATGACATTAGTAAGATTTGAAATGCTGCCTAACGTTCTGCGCACTCTGTTGTAATTGATATAGTTGATTTATGAACTCGAGGACGAAAGTTGTTAAGGTGTGTGTGCTAATTTCATAGAGAATGAAAACACAACTTTACAAATTGTTTTATCATAAAGTATGGTGAAAATCACAAGGTACTATACACGTGTAAAGGATTGTTACTGCAAGTAGTTTTGGTCTTATAACTGAAAGGGCTCCATAGTAGTCAGTTGTAAACTTCTCTCATAATTCTTTTAGTTAATTGCCAGGTGTCCTTGAATGAGTATCTTGGAATTTCAGGTCCTTAAAATTAACTTGTATTTTGTTTTTGGAATATTTACTTGTTATACTGGTGTTTCTGTGGGAATATTATCAGATATATTTGGGGAAAGCACATCTAGTTTTCCTATTTGGACATTGGCATTACAAAACAAATTATATGTGGTGTTTTTCATACTCCTCATGCTAACTTTATAATGTACTTGATTTGAAATTTTTTAAATGTATTTTCTTTTGTTGTTGTTAAAATAACTTCCTTTTAGTAGGCAACTTTTAAGAAAAATCTGCTTCTGAATTGTATTTTGATAGCATGGGATAAAACAAAAAGCATAATTTAATTCCTGCTTCTAATTGTTCTTTTTGAATATTTTCCCCTCTAATAAAGTTTTTGATTCGACTGCACTTTCTTGAGTGAAATTTGTTTGATTAGAATTAATAAAGTTTCTTTAATAGAGTAAGATCAGTCTGTGTATCTTCAAAATATGCTTTTTAAAGAAATTTTTAGGATCTGAAAGCATTAGTTGATATCACCATATTCTAAGAAAAATCATTATAAAGGTAGGTTTCCTTGGACTAGGGGTCTAGTTGAGATTTGAGGCTTTATGTTAATAGCACATCTCTTGTGGGTTGGTAGCAATGATTTTAAAGAACAAAAAGTTTTTAAAGTTTTTAGTGATGGTTCTAAATTGTGATGCAGATTTGCATAGTAAAGATTTTACACTCTGATCATGGTTAGTTACAGTTTAGCTCTTTCCGGAATTTATTTTGGTTAATTCAGAAAAAAATGTATAATGCTACTTTAGGGAGCAAAAAAAAAATCACGTGCGTACATTTAAGAGAAGTTATTCTGATGTATATAATGTAGTATATAACCAAAATCATTTGGGTCTTTTGAAGAAACACTGGAAGAAGTAATGTAACTTACAAAAGAAAAGCCTCTGTTTATAGTTTAGTACTACCTTTTAAAAAAATCTTAGAGTGATATTTCCATTAAAATAATGACTTTAACTTGGGCTGTGTTAATTATACTATGTAAATTTGTGACAGTGGAAATGAAAGATTACATTTGGGTTTTTCACCTTTAATAAAAATGTCATTTGTTCTTTTTGTTTTGAAGGAAGAGAATCTTTTGACCCAACCATCCTTTTTATTTAAAAAAAAAAAAAAAATTTTTTTTTCAACGTTTATTTATTTTTGGGACAGAGAGACAGAGCATGAACAGGGGAGGGTCAGAGAGAGGGAGACACAGAATCGGAAACAGGCTCCAGGCTCTGAGCCATCAGCACAGAGCCTGACGCGGGGCTCGAACTCCCGGACCGCGAGATCGTGACCTGGCTGAAGTCGGACGCTTAACCGACTGTGCCACCCAGGCGCCCCCCAACTATCCTTTTTAAATAAATCAGGCTTAAATGTTATTCCTGAGAAACAAGTTCGGAATATTTCTAGACTTTTTAGTATGAACAAGAATTTGTAATAGTTTTCCTTTTAAAATTTGTAAAAAAGGGTATATAACAGTTTATGGTTACAAATCTCAAGACCATATTCCTCAAATTTGAAAAACTTTGCTTTGATTGATAAAGGAATATTTTAAAAGGTTCTTTTGTCAATAAGAGTCAAACAAACATGATTCCATAGGATACTATGTCTGAAAACTGTTACACCAAACAATACTACTATTCAATTTTGCAGACATTCATTTAGTCTTTTGAACCACTCCAATAAAAGATTACTCCTTTTTGAGATGTCTTTAAAAGATACTTCATAATTGAAAGTGAAATGGCTGACATGTTAACAGTTTCAGTTTTGCCTTAGGGTTTCAGATGAGTAGTTTGTGACTATACATCTTAGTGTATAAAGTTTTAGATGAGTAATTGGTGATTACACATCTTAATGTATGTCATAAAATCCTTCACAAATAAGTGTAGGTACATATGGATACATACAGGTAAATAATAGGTATGGACCTATCTGCCTGGCTTTGATGGATTTTTCATATTTGGTTTGTAGTTAGAATAGACGATTGTATTTGCATTTTTGTGTGTGTGTGGGGGGGGAATGTACAAAGATTAAAGATGTAGCACTGTGATCGTAGCATTTTAGAACTTTCAAGAGTTTTAGATCATTTAGTCTCACTTCTTTACAAATGAGAAAACCAGAGCTTTTAGAGGTTATCATGCCCATAGTCTCACAGCAAAGACAAGCCTCACAGAAGTTACAAGATAGTAGGAATCCAGCTCTCCTGACTGAGTTGTTGCATTTTCTAATGTGTCCTACTTCTTAATACCATACGGGGAAAACCCAAAAAGGCCATGTTAAACCTCCAGTTTTGACAAACTTGTTGTACAAGCTTTTTCCATGCAAAGGATATATCTATACCAACAAATATGGAAAAGGGAAAATATTGCATGGATATTAAAAAAAAAAAAGTAGGAGTGCCGGCCTATAGATTCTACCACGTGTAGTTGCTTTTCTTCATCAGGTTTCTCTTCATCCTCATTATCATTACTTTTGGCCACCATCTTTCAAAAAAAAAAAAAAACCACCATTTTTGCATAGTAGCTGAATTGGTCTCTGCTGTTAGGCTAGTCTTTCCTTGTGATAGTCCAACATCCAAGTTGCTCAGGGTCATTTTTCTGCAAATAAAATCAATCATGAAACATCTTGGAAAACTACATTCTCTATCTTTCAAACCATCATATCCAATTTTAATTCCTTACTTTGGCATATAAAGCTATTTGCATTAGGATCCTAAAGTTTTTCTCATCTTTATAGACTTTATACTTGCCACCAACTCCCAGAGTTGGTGCAAGCCATGTTTCTGTAGCATTTTTTAGCACTAAGTCTTTTTCATGTCTTTTTTTTTTTTTTTTACATTCAAAGTAAAGTGGTATTGCTCTGCCATTCCTCCCTCCCTTTTCTCCTCACTCCCATAAACTTGGCCAACTCCTGCTCATACTTCAATACCCTATTCAGATAGCTTTTCTTCTAGAAGCCTTCCTTTATTCACTTTATTAGTTGTGCTTGTGCCCCTCTTTGTTCTTAGGTGTATAATATCACTATAAGTAATGTTAATCTGCCCCGTAAACTATTAGCTACAAATGGGTCATCATTTATTTCCAGAGTCTTGTACAGAGTTTGGCATATAATGGACACTCAGAAATTTTATTAAAAAAAAAAAAAAAAGTCCACAGTATGTACACTGATGTTTTTCAGTAGTGACTTTTTTTACATTTTTTTAAAAATTTAACATTTATTATTTGACAGAGACAGAGCATGAGTGGGGGAGGGGCAGAGAGAGAGGCAGTCACAGATTCTGAAGCAGGCTGCAGACTCCAAGCTGTCAGCCCAGAGCCTGACACAAGGCTTGAACTCATGAACTGTGAGATCATGACCTGATCCAAAGTCAAATGCTTAACCGACTGAGCCGCCCAGGTGCCCCTTCAGTAATTGTTTTGAAAGCCTGCAATGCAGT